TGCCCCACAGCTGAACTAACTCCCACCCATCACGGGTCCCACTTACCTCCCAGCTATGCTGGAGGTTGATGGGGGTCCATTGGGGTCCTGATGGAGGTACTGGGGGTCCCAGGGTACACAGGGGTGCAACAGGCTTTGGCCCGTGTATCTTGGTCTGGAGTTGGGCCAAACTGAAGGACACGATCCTTGAAGCACAAAGGAAGTCCATTCCCATGGGGAGAAAAGGTAACAGAAGGGCTGGGAAGTAGGGCTGTGTGAAATTTTGCTGGCCATTTCATTTTGACACTTTCAACTCATTTCAAGGTTGAAACAGCAAAATCAAAATGAAACAAAAGGCTGCAAAACAGCCTTGAAACAAAACGAGGCTAATTGAAATGTTTCAACCATAGTGCTGGGGAAACAACTCAGCCCAGCTGGGCTGACTCCCTGTCCTCAGCAAAACATCGAAACAGCATTGAAACAGCCTTTCTGTTTTGGCAGAATGGAACAGAACAGCTGTTTCCAATCAAAATGAAATTTGAAACAGAATGCTGTCCTCTGAAGAAAGAAGAAAGAGGCTTATAAACAATGGAAGCCTGGGGCAGGCCCCAAGGAGGACTATTCCATGAGGGCCCACATTTACAGAGAATAGATAAGAAAGGTTAAAATGGTGATCAAACTTATATTAGCAACAGAAATCAAGGACAACAAGAAGTCCTTCTTTAGGTACATAGGGGACAGGAGGAAACCAAATGGGAGTGTGGGGCCATTGCTCAACAACTCAGGAATGCTGGTTACCAGCACCCAGGAGAAAGCTGAACTCCTGAATAACTACTTTACCTTGGTCTTTCACTGGACCAAGGGGAAAAGAACACCAAGGAGAGTATAGGATGAGCACAGTAGGAATAATTGCCTTCCTACTATTACCATAGAATTCGTGTATGGCCAATTAAAAAAAGTAGACATATACAAGTCAGAGATCTTGACCCTGAGATGGTGCAGAGGCACTTGCAGGAACTGGACGTGCTTAAGTCAGCAGGCCCGGATGAGCTCCATCAGAACCCTTGGAGAAACTCTTCCACAACTCATGGCAGTTTGAAGAAGTCCCTGAGGACTGGAAGAGGGCCAATGCTGTGCCCATCCACAAGAAGGGCAGGAGGGAGGACCCAGGTAACGATAGGCCAATCAGCCTAACTTCCATCCTAGGGAAAATGCTAGAAAAGTTCATTATAGAGTCTATCTGTGATAAGCTTGCAGAAGGTAACATTCTGAGTGACAGCCAGCATGGCTTCATAACAGGCAGGTTTTGCCTTACCAACCTTATCTCCTTCTATGGCCAGGTAACTCATCACCTGGACACAAGAGAGCAGGTTGACATTGTATACCTTGACTTCCAAAAGGCCTTTGATCTAGTATCCCACCATGTCATCACCAGTGGTGTCCCTCAGGGGTTGGTGCTTGCTCCTGTACTTTTCATCATCTTTAGTAATGATTTGGATGTTGGGGTGAAGAGCTCGCTGGCCAAGTTTGTGGATGACACCAAGTTATGGGGAAGCCTGGACATGCTTGTAAATAGGCTAAAGATACAGGTGGACCTAGACAGGCTACCAAGTTGGGCAGACCGGAATCTGATCAAGGTCAGTGTTGAGAAATGTAAAGTGCTCCACCTTGGGATGAGCAACCCTGAACCCACTTACAGGCTTGGTAGCACCAAACTGACTAGCACCACAAATGAAAGAAACCTGGGGTAATAATAGACCACAACATGAATATGAACTGGCAGTGCAATGCTGTAGCCAGTAAGGCAATTAATACTCTGGCATGCAATCGATGTATCTACAGCAAAACCAAGGAAGTGATTGCTCAGCATTAGTGAGACCACAACTGGAGTACTGCATCCAGTTCTGGGCACCACACTTTAACAAGGACATGGATAAGCTTGAGAGAGTCCAAAGAAGAGCCACCCATATGATCACAGTCTTACACAGCAAGCCATACGAGGAAAAGCTGAGGGATCTGGGACTTTTCAGTATGAAGAAAAGAAGGTTGAGAGGGGACCTGGTAGCAGCTTACCACTACACTAGGAGAGTACATCAAGGGCTCGGTGAGCAACTATTCACTAGGGCACCTGAGGGGTAAACTAGGAGTAATAGCCACAAACTCCTGGAAGACTGATTCAGGCTCAACATTACAAAAAATTTATTCATGGTCAAGGTGTCCAGACTGTGGAATAAGCTCCCTCCAGAGGTAGTGCAATCACCTACCCTGAAGGCTGGAAATCTTTAAGAGGAGACTAGACAGTCACCTGGCTGGGCTCACCTGACCCCTAGTTATCTTTCTTGCTTGATGCAGTGGGCTGGGACAGATGATCTGCCAAGGTCCCTTCCAGCCTTACAATCTATGAATCTATGAATCCATCATCAAAATATGAACTAGACAGAGAGCAACACCTTTAAGACAAAGCTATCCTTACTTAACGTCTATAGATTTATAGCTATGAAGAACCTAACTTGTCATTGTCCATCCAGTTGATAATGTCCTTGTAGATTTGACATAGGGATATGCAAAGGTATTGTAAAGAATGTAACATTATTTCAAAAAGGGTGGGGAGCAAAGTGGGCAACTAGAGACTTTATATATCAATTTTGGTTTTTGAACCTGCTTGCACTGTTGTGAGTCACAACCAGAAAGGGCATACTGGGGGAAGCTGATGGCACTCTTCTAAGCTTTCCCCATAAAATAAATCTGTGAGTTTCCAAAACCAGTCACAGCTCACAATACATTGGGAAGATTTTCCAAGTCAGGACAATGGTACTCTTCAACCCCCACAGAGCTTCCATTCCCCTTCGGTGGGAAAGGAATCTTCTTCATCAATGTCTACCAAATTCAGCCACTTGTGTCACTGAACTGAGAAGTCACTTACAGTAAACTGTGTAGATTTGCTGTCTCCCTCTTACAGGAAGAAGTAAGTATTGTAAAAAGCTGACATTCAAATTATTTATATAAGTGGGTCAAGGCATCACTGAGACAAGCAGATGGTGTATTTCAGAGCTATTTCTTTCAAGATTTCTACAAACTCACACAAACATTTCTGCACACTAAATTCACAGTTCTGAGGATCAATTGACAGATATAACAGCTAGAGTTTTTCTTTAAATGAAAACTGATATTTTGTAGAACAAGATGGTGGTTTGAGGGACAGGCAGCTCTACTTTAATGATGCTTCTCACCCCTTTCTTAGACTTTGTTCATTAGTTTGTGATTTATTTCTAGGATACTGGCTGGCTGACAGCACTTTCTGCCTGTTGCTGAGGTTTGAATCATTGGGGGAAGGGGTTGTCTATATGTGCATTAAGGTGCTTTAGTTAATGCACATTAAATGTAGTACCTCCATTGTGAAGTATTAGGACAAGGTGCATTAGCCTGTCTTAATGCACATTAACTAAAGAACAAGTTTTAGTGATATGTGTAGACACACCCTTGAGTGTTACATTGTTTGTGAAGAAAGAAAAGGACTAAGAAAGAATATGAACCTTTCTTCCGTATAGAGGGGGTGCCTGCCATGTCAATGAATGGCAAATAAGCACAGTCAGTGAGTGCATCTACATAAGATGCTAACTGCACAGTAGCCTAATTCTACTGTACAGTGGGCTCATCTACACATGCACCAGACTGTGCAGTTGTTACTGTACAGTCATTAATACTTGTGTAACAGGAGCTACTGCACAGTCCCAGCACCCCACAGGCTGTTGCCAATGGTACTGCTCCATGCAACTGTGCAGTAGCATTGGCATCAAGTTTCATGCCTGCTGATGCTGCATCACTACATTGTCATAGCTTGTCACTACCACAATGTAGTGTCTTGTGTAGATGCACCCTGTAGTATACAGTGCAAAACTCATGCTAATACACTACTTCACAGCAGTATTAGGCTACTATGCAGTTAGCATCACTAAAAAGCTGTGCACTGCAACTACTGCATAGTAGCACCAGTTACTGTGCAATCATTTAGGACTTGTTTAGACAAGTACCAAACTTAATGTGCAGTAACTGTGGTGCATTAGTGGACATGTAGATGCACCCACTTAGAAATAACAGCATGCCAATGTCCATTATTGGCCTGTAATTACCAAGCATTAAGTTTAGTACCTGTAATAACAGTTATTAACTTAATGTTCTGTTATTGGTGCAACTGCGCATTAGCACAGATGAAGGGTTTTTTTGTGCGCACCCAATGCACATTGGACTAAATCCACCATTCATTATTGCATTAGCACACCTTTGCCAGCCGGACTAATGCATAGTAGAATTAGTCCAATGCACCTTAAGCATCTGGTGTGGATGCGTCCACAGCCTGTTACATTTGACAAGTTTTACAGATGAAAAGGAAAAACGATAGGTTTTAGCCACAGTGTGAGACAGTCATCCTACCTAATCCGACAAGGGAAATAGTTATGATGAGCACAGAAATTTAGAACTCCTTGTCTTCCCTTAAGACTTACAGAAAGTAACTGTAAAATAAATCCAAATAAATTAAGTTGAAATTAGGAACGCTAACCCTTAAAGGGAGATAAATGTTTTTACTATATCACGTCTAATGGTATGTAAAAGTATCAAACTGTACTGCATTTTATTGTTTCGTGTTAAATATTTTGCTTCAGTGTTTTCTTTTCAGTAAAGTTTTGGGGATATTAAAGAATAGTAACTTAGAAAGCAGTTTTACATGGAAAAGTATCTCAGAGATATTGAATCCAGACGCCTGATGGCGCTGCAGACCGCAAAGGCGAAGAAAGAACTGCAGATCCCAGACGCCATTACAAAGCAGACACCGAATCTCAGTAGACCAGCAGTTCCTAATCGAGCTATCATGCACAGTGACTACGCTGTCCGAAAGGGCATTAGATCAAAGCGGTGGATGTTGAGGAAGTTTTTCTGCACTCATAGATAAGAGGTGCTGTGGCCTTTGTTTTAAACGAGAACAGGAATATATTGAAAGGAGGAAGATTTAGTTAGACGGAAAAATGGCCACTAGAAACACTGAAAAGTGTTTGAAAAGGCGGGCTCTGTCCCTGATCCTTCTGTTCTGTGTGTCGGGTGTGAGAACCGCAACTGTTCGGTATTCTGTGACTGAAGAAACCGAGAGCGGGTCCTTCGTGGGAAATATCGCAAAGGATCTGGGACTGACACCTGAGAAACTCTCTGCTCGCCAGGGTCGGATCATTTCTGAAGGGGAAAAGCAGTATTTTCAACTCCAGCTCAGCACCGGGTATTTGTTTATTCAGGAAAAAATAGACCGAGAGGAGCTCTGCGGGCAAATGTATCCCTGCGTGATGCATTTGGAGGTTTTGCTGGAGAAGCCACTGCAATCCTACCAAGCCGAGGTAAGCATTAACGATATAAATGATCATTCCCCGGTGTTTTTAAATAAAGAATTGCTCTTAAAGATCTCAGAGTCTGCAGTGCCCGGAACACGGTTTTTACTGGAGAGTGCTCTGGATTTAGATGTAGGGAATAACAGTCTGCAGAACTACAGCATTAGAGCTAATGACTATTTCCATATTTACACACGGGACCGCAGTGACGGGAGAAAGTACGCGGAGCTGGTACTCGATAAAACACTCGATCGCGAGCAGCACCCGGAGCTCAGATTGACTGTGGTTGCTGTCGACGGTGGCTTCCCCCAGCGGTCAGGATCGGCACAAATCCGCATTACTGTTTTGGATATAAATGACAATATCCCAGTGTTCGTTCGGCCTCTCTATAAAGCCCAGGTTTTGGAAAATAGTATTGAAGATTACTTACTCGCTACAGTCTCGGCAACCGATTTGGACGAGGGAAGCAATGGGGAGATCTCCTACTCTATTATTCAAAACTCTCAGGAAAATCGCCAAACGTTTATGATAAATCCCATCACCGGGGAAATTCGACTCAAACGAGTTCTAGATTTTGAAGAAATGGAAAATTATGAGATAGACGTGCAGGCCACAGACGGCGGGGGTCTTTCTGCTCACTGCAAAGTCCTTGTGAAGGTTCTGGATTTGAATGACAATGCCCCAGAAGTTACAATCACATCGCTCACTAGCCCCATCCCCGAGGACGCGCCCCCCGAGACGGTGGTGGCTTTATTCAGTGTCAGGGACCGCGACTCCGGGGACAACGGCAGAACATCATGTTCTATAGAGGACCACGTGCCTTTTACACTTACACCATTACCAAAAAATTCCTATTTCCTAAAGACAGAAATCTCGCTGGACCGCGAGAGCGTGTCGGAGTACAACATCACGATCGTGGCGCGGGACCAGGGCGCCCCCAGCCTGTCCGCCGAGCAGAGGATCAGGGTGAGAGTGTCCGACATCAACGACAACGCGCCCGTGTTCAGCCAGGCGGCCTACACCATGCACGTGCGGGAGAACACGGCGCCCGGCACGGCGATCGGCACAGTGCGCGCCGCCGACGCGGACGCGGAGCACAACGCCCGAGTGACCTACTCGCTCGTGCCCGCCGGCGCCGGCGCCGGGGCCCTGCCCGTGCTCGCCTACGTGGCGGTGAACTCGGCGGACGGCAGCGTGTACGCGCTGCGCTCCCTGGACTACGAGCAGACGAGGCAGCTGGAGGTGGGCGTGAGAGCGACGGACGCCGGGTCCCCGGCGCTCAGCTCCGAGGCCGTGCTGCGCGTCGTGGTGCTGGACGAGAACGACAACGCGCCCTTCGTGCTGCACCCGCTGCAGAACAGCACGGCGGCGTGGAGCGAGCTGGTGCCGCGCTCGGCCGAGCCGGGCTACCTGGTGACCAAGGTGGTGGCGGTGGACGCGGACGCGGGGCAGAACGCCTGGCTGTCCTACCAGCTGCTCCGCGCCACGGAGCCGGGGCTCTTCGCCGTGGCGCTGCACAGCGGCGAAGTGAGGACGAGCCGGCCGCTGACGGAGCGCGACACGGTGAAGCACAGGCTTATTGTGCTCGTCAGGGACAGCGGGGAGTCGCCCCTGTCCTCCTCCGCCACCCTCAACATCCTGCTCGTGGACGGCTTTTCCGACGCCTACCTGCAGTCCGCTGATGCCGCCGCCGCCGCCGCCGCCGAAGGGGCCGACACAGGCGCTTTAACCATGTACCTAACCGTCTCCCTGTGCCTCGTGTCCTTCCTCTTCCTGCTGTCCGTCGTGACATTTGTCCTGCTCAAGGTGTGCCGGAGGAGAGGGGGCGGGGAGCAGTACACCAGTGCTCCCGGCACGTTGTATGGCGACGGCAACTTGCCGAGAGACTGGGTGGATGTGTCGGGGACCGGCACCCTGTCCAGGAGTTACCGATACGAAGTGTGCTTGAGCACGGGGTCGGGGAGCAGCGAATTCCGGTTCCTGAGGCCCCTCGTGCCCGCCCCGCCGCAGCAGGGGGGCTGCGTCGTGACGGGCTCCGGGAAGGAACGGGATCTTCTCACCGACTCTCATGCGCCCACCGACTTGGAAGGCGCCGACCAGGTAAGCGTTGGGTGGGCTCTTCCGCCCTTCATTCACTATGAATAGGTCCTCATCTTTTTGGACTGGCGAATGTTGTTCATGTGTTTTCCCTTTTCAAAAATCTGCTTTCCTTTATAGTGAACGCAGGGCCTGATTCTTTCACAAGTGACTATGTTTCGATTACATTAACCACCTGCAATCAACAGACGTGATATGTGCCTGACAGCATTAATTTCTCCTTAAAGCAGCCTTACTTTTTAGAGTACTGGTGCGTTGTATAGGGACGTTGGAAGGGAATTACCAGCCCGCTTTGCTAGTAATTATTTGGAACCTTCTAATAGGGTCTGTTTCTTATAGAGAGGAGAAGAAGTCAGGTTTCCTCATTTTATTTCCAGCTTAATTATTACCGTGAAAGCCTTAGATAAAAATGAGAGATTTCTGGCAATATCCAGTCAATTCTTTAATAAGTTGTAGATTTTCTTCAAAATAGCAGTCAATTGATAGTGTGTGTTTTAGGAGAAATGTCCAATAACAGGTGAATTTTTTCAAGAGGATGCTTCAAACACACAATATACATATTACTAGAAAATCCTATTTGGTTACAGTTTTCAGAATGGATGAGACTACTTTTCCCTGTGGCTTTACCTTTCCCGTCATTGACTTCTATCATAACCATGTTTCCAGGGCGACTGCTCAGCACTTTCTCCAGTGTCCTTCTAAGGCCATTATTCTGCATTCCTTTATGCCCATGTGCTCATTATAGGTCTGTTGCCTAGGTCTCCTACGACCCATCAGCTCCTAGGACCCCTCTTTCTCATCTTCCCTCGGAGGTTGAAAAGCTGATCAGAGAGTACTATAGTTTCATTACACTTCAGGAGAAGGAAATCGAAGCCTGTGGAGTCAGTCCATTTGATCGCCGCCTTGATGTTTTATACGAACTACTGTCTCTTAAAAAGACGCAACTACTTTTGTTCTCTATATTTCTGGTAGCTATCACTAACCAGTTTATGCCGTTCCACTCGCAACGATTTATTAAAGATAAGCTTAAAGGACAGCAGTACAGAAGGAGAAATCCCATCAGGATACTACTGTCAGAATTTAGGTCTGGAGTTTTCAGTATTGTCCTTGAAAGTTTATTCCTATGCTCTCACTTACACGTTGCAGACTTGGATTGCACAGTCGATCGACTAGGAATACGAACTGCTCTTTACCTACAAAACAGTTTCCCCTATAGCGCAGGCACGTACTGAATGCACTGTAGAGAGAAGGGAACTATAATTTCTATAACACCCTGTTGTTGTTTTTGTTGTTCATGAGATGATGATGACGATGATGATTTTTTACATCCAAATAATACAGATCTCTGGATAGAATCGTTCACTTACATAATTAAAGATGGTGAGCTGCAAGGTGCGAATTTCCTGCAAGAAAAGTGTGAACTGAATTAGAGAGTCAAGTTTAACATTGAACGGGAGACAAGAGAGGGGTTGAGGTTGGTGATTTTCACCAATAACATTTTGCAGACACTGTAGAACCTCTGTCTAAAATTAAAACCTGTCAAACACGCATTCCACTCGCACGTATGCTGTTGAAGAAAAAGGGACTCTGTAGGAAGAAATGATGAGCCCTTGATTTTCAGAATCTGTTAGACCCGCAGCTTTCCCGGTGCCAGGCCACCAAGATGCTGGCGTAATCCTGGTAGCGAGCTGGTGCCGCGCTCGGCCGAGCCGGGCTACCTGGTGCCGAAGGTGGTGGCGGTCGACGCGGACGCGACGCAGAACGCGGAAGCCATGCAATTCTACCAGGTGCTCCACGCCACAAAGCCGGGGCTTTTCGCGTGGCGCTGCAGACTGGCGTAGTCACCCTTCTTCAATACCTGCGCCAAAAGCTTGCCAATAACTTTTTTCCAACTACTCAGTTGGTCTAATAAAGGATATTACATCTACTCAAAAAACCTTGCCTGCCTTAGACCAACACGGCTACAACAAAAAATCCAGCACACTTAGAAATTGTATTCCATGAATTAAGATGCAGTGCCGCCTGTGTGTGTTATCTGATCACTCTAAAACGTGAAGGTAAATATCCTGAATAATTGTCCTTAGGCCTGGCATGCAGTGATCTCTGTCCGGTAAAAAGGCTCCAAGTGTCAATGTTTAGCTTGTCAGCCGTCATTATGGCAAGCTTTGTTTCAATATTTCTAAAGTATCCCAAATATAGCATATGTATTCTGTAAATCTGGGGCACATTTTCCCATCTGCATACTTACATAGAAGTAAGGACACATTTTTTTCCTCGTTTTGGGGCACTTAAATAAAATAAATGGTGTAAACAATCCGATTTTTTACTTCCATTTCCTTCACCTAGAATTGCAGGGCTTCAGCATCTTAGAAATTGGATCTTTGGAGATATCTCAACTTGGATTTAGTGTTAAAAACAGGCAATCGGTTTGATTCAAAATTGAGCATTTCATCTCGCAACAAACCCTACATCTTACAGATGGACGAGTCCAGTGTCCCATATGAAATACCTGTGAATTATCAAATTAACACTTTGCCTTGGAACACTAGCTAATTCTTATTACTTGCCATTTAAGCCTCCTGTGTAAACTACTGTGGCCCATCTGTTTTGATGCGAGTCATTCTGGACCCATCAAGACCGCATTAAACCTGTTGTCTGTTTTTACCCTACGGCCGTGTCCACACGTGATGTGGATGTTTGGTTCCCCCAGGACAACTAGTAGCAGCGCACCTTGTGCCCCAGCTAATTGTTCCTGGGGAACGCCGGTTCCACTAGGGCTCTGGTGCATGGCAAGTTAGCCCGGATGGGGTGCGGGAGGTTGGGGCCAGCACTGGGCTGGCTCCAGAAGCCTTACCTGGGGTCCTGGGTTCCTCCTGCGGCTGCAGAAGCTGCTATTCTGCCCCACAGAGCCTGACCAGCAGCCGCAGCGCGCTCCCGTCGGCCCCCTCCCGTTTTGAGCGGCTCGAGCTGCACCTGCATGCGCTGCTCTGCTTTTTTTTCCCCGTGGGTTCGTTTGATCCCTGGATACTCAGGGATCAAAGAAAAAGTGCTGCCATGACCCCCAGCACTCCTTTGTAAATATTCATTAACTGTCTATTTCTTCTTACCATAACAATCTAATGTTTGTTTGGCTGAATCTCCTATTACTGTCTTGTAGCATTGTTGTTGTTTTCCCTCAGTGAAGTTTGTAGCGCTTACTCCAGAGTATATGGGGGTTTTCATAGAGATGCGGTAAATTATTCAAAACTTTAAAGTTTGGTTTATACTGTACTCGAAGCATTTATTAAGTATGGACCCAGGGTGCAGCAGGTGTAACTTCTCCAGAATCTACCCGATACTGCGCTAGGTAACTCACATGCTTCTAGTTTACTTAAAAGGATATATGATGAAACTCCAGTAAGCACAAAATTCAGCACAGAGGTTGACCACAGTGGATTGACAGAACTTGACACTTCCTCTCTGGCGTTACCTTGCTTTTCCTTTCTCTGTCCTTCAGACTTCCTGGCGCTCTGCTTGTGGACCTGCAGCACTTGTGGCTTCCATTGGGCAGAGACACTTTGCCATTCCTATGAGGAGAGATACGATATATTCTGTTACTACTGTCGAAGTATTTTATGCACTGAGTCTGAGCCGGTCTCTAATTTTGCATTGATAAATGTGTCCCAGTTGTATAGGTAAGCAAGATTCTTTAAGTAGATGTGATATCTTTTATTAGACCAAGGGACTAGTTGGGGAAAAAAGTTCTTAGCAATCACCCTTCTTCAGGCATAGGGAGTTTCTGCTGTACTCAGCAGGTCTAATAAAAGATATCACATCTACTCAAAAAACCTTGCCTGCCTATGTCCTCTTAGACCAACGCGGCTACAACCACAAAACTCCCAACTATATGTATATTTTGCAGGGATCGTTTTCCTTACATTATTTTGTATTATAATTGAAAGCACTTCTAAGAGCAGTAGAGTGAAGTGATAATTACAGTTCCGAGGATGTCTTTATTGAAAACATGCCTACAGTTCAGAAAAAATTAGAGTAATCAGTCATCAAAATCAAAACAGAGTACGGCCATAGGGCATTTATAGAACCAGATATTGCCTCCCTCGATTCGCCGTGCCCTTCCTGATCTTGCTCTTGTTTTCTTAATGCAATCTATTTGAAGTTCAAGGTAGTGGAATCGTAAATTGTTTCTAAAAACACTGATGATAACTGAGATAGTGAGTTCAAAGGATAGCATTGGATTTGTATTTCGAGATATTGAGCTGTTTTCTTAAAAATCTGTTTCTGTTGAATATTCTTCCTTCTATTTACAGACTGATTTACTGAAAGAAAGAAACTTACTTGGTACTTAATAAAAGTCACACAGAACGATGACTAATATTGTTCCTACTTAAAGAGGAAAGAGAGGCCTATTATACGAGATACAGAATAGACTGTATTTTCCAAGAAAAATCCGGCAAGTCTAACTGGGGCAATAGGACTTAAAAACGAAAGACCTACAAAATTACTCCTCCTTTTCTAAGCATATACTGAACTAGTACCATAAATAGGACCCGGATACTCGAAGGATTTTTAGATGCCAAAGGCTAATTCAAATCACGTGGAGTTTTCTGGATCTGGACCTGGGGCATAAATAATTAGTAAATCACCAATATACCAACTAAACCAAAACGATATAATGTAGATCGCAGGAACTGGGCACATGGTTAAAGGAAAGTTATGCCCTTTGAATTCAGTGTTGTTGCTAAAACCAACAGGTTCAAAAGCGTTTTTTACACGTGCCATTGGAAAAAATTGTAACTATTTTTCTTTACTTTTATATTCTGACTGTATAGACTACAAGGCAACTTCATCCGGACATATTTTAAAATCTAGGAAATTAAAAACAAATAAAGAGTAGAGTAAAATATTTTAGGGGTAATTCGTGCTTATACTATCTGTGAAGTGAAACTCGCCCCGTGCAGATCAGAAATTTCAAATAAAAAAAAATGTAATAAAAACGTCTAGGAAAAAAAACAGTAAAACTATAATACTGTCCATTGTACGCTCCAAGAGGTATTTTCTTAATTTTTCAGCACTAGTGCTTTTTTTTTTTTAAAGATTAACATGATACAAAACAAGACCAATTCATCCATGTTACATAAAGAAAAAAATACTTAAAATTATGTTACAAAGACAGAGCACCACAAAACAAGTTTCTGAACTGGATTTAAAGAGGGACAATGTTCTGCCACAAGGTGGCGGCGTTGGCTAAAAAGGGGAAAGATTGAATCAGCTGGTTTGGGTATCACAGTACTAGAAGGAAACCAACCACGACACAAATGAAGGGGAAACAAACCCGCATACTTTGATCAGCATAACTGAGGGATCGCGACACTCTGAAGGGTTCGAATTTAAAAAGTAAAACTTGTACCAAGGGAATATATAACCTGAAGAGATTATGTAACAGATCGGGCTGGTGGAATGAACCTCAGATAGGGATATTTCTTCCGGATCGACCCGTGCCGCCTCCTGCAGACACAATGGCGGACACCGAGAGCAGAACAAAGCGGAGCAGGCAAGCCGCGTCTGTCCTTCTGCTCCTGTGCGTGGGGGCGATCGGCTCGGAGACGGTGCGGTACTCGGTGCCGGAGGAAATGGAGAGCGGGTCCTTCGTGGCTAATGTGGCAAAGGATGTGGGGCTGGAGCCCAGGAGCCTGTCTGCTCGCAGGGCCCGCCTGGTGTCGGACGCCGCGAGCCGGCATTTCCAGCTGAATGGCAAGACTGGGGACTTGCTTATCAAAGAGAAACTGGACCGCGAGGAACTGTGCGGGCAGACGGAGCCCTGCCTTGTTCGCTTTGAGCTAGTCCTGGAGAATCCCTTGCAGTCGTACCTAGCTGAGGTGAGGGTTACTGACATAAATGATCATTCCCCAGTGTTTTCAGAAAATGAATTTACCATACAAATACTTGAAGCAACTCCCCCGGGAGCGCGGTTTCCCTTGGAAAAAGCCGAGGATTTAGATGTGGGGAACAATAGCCTCCAGAACTACAGCCTTAATACTAACAGTTATTTCTCCCTCTATTCTCGCGTTAGGAATAACGGTATGAAATACGCAGAGCTGATCCTAGATAAAGCTTTAGACAGGGAAGAGCAGTCAAAAATGAACCTGTTATTCACAGCGGTGGACGGCGGCTCCCCGCCGAGGTCCGGCACTGCGCAAATCCGCGTCATCGTCCTCGATATCAATGACAACCTGCCCGTTTTCTCCCAGGCCTCTTACAAAGCCCTGGTCCCGGAAAACAGCCCCAGAAATTACCTGGTTGTGACAGTTTCTGCCGCCGACTTGGACGAAGGAAGCAACGGGGAAATCTCCTACTCCTTCAGCCGGAAATCCAAGGAAAGTAGTAAAGAGTTCGATATTAACGCAGTCTCAGGGGAAATTCGGGTAACAGGGGAACTAGATTTCGAAATGAGGGATACATACGAGCTGGATGTTCAGGCCACGGACGGCGGGGGGCTGTATTCACATACCAAAGTCCTGGTGGAGGTGGTGGATGTGAACGACAACGCGCCAGAGGTGACCCTGACATCGCTCATCAGCCCCATCCCCGAGGACGCGCCCCCCGAGACGGTGGTGGCCCTGCTCAGCGTCAGGGACCGCGACTCCGGGGACAACGGGAGGGCAGCCTGCTCCATAGAGGACGCGCTGCCCTTCTCCCTGAAGGCGACGTTCCGGGACTCGTACGCGCTGGTCACGGAGCGGGCGCTGGACCGCGAGAGCGTGTCGGAGTACAACATCACGATCGTGGCGCGGGACCAGGGCGCCCCCAGCCTGTCCGCCGAGCAGAGGATCAGGGTGAGAGTGTCCGACATCAACGACAACGCGCCCGTGTTCAGCCAGGCGGCCTACACCATGCACGTGCGGGAGAACACGGCGCCCGGCACGGCGATCGGCACAGTGCGCGCCGCCGACGCGGACGCGGAGCACAACGCCCGAGTGACCTACTCGCTCGTGCCCGCCGGCGCCGGCGCCGGGGCCCTGCCCGTGCTCGCCTACGTGGCGGTGAACTCGGCGGACGGCAGCGTGTACGCGCTGCGCTCCCTGGACTACGAGCAGACGAGGCAGCTGGAGGTGGGCGTGAGAGCGACGGACGCCGGGTCCCCGGCGCTCAGCTCCGAGGCCGTGCTGCGCGTCGTGGTGCTGGACGAGAACGACAACGCGCCCTTCGTGCTGCACCCGCTGCAGAACAGCACGGCGGCGTGGAGCGAGCTGGTGCCGCGCTCGGCCGAGCCGGGCTACCTGGTGACCAAGGTGGTGGCGGTGGACGCGGACGCGGGGCAGAACGCCTGGCTGTCCTACCAGCTGCTCCGCGCCACGGAGCCGGGGCTCTTCGCCGTGGCGCTGCACAGCGGCGAAGTGAGGACGAGCCGGCCGCTGACGGAGCGCGACACGGTGAAGCACAGGCTTATTGTGCTCGTCAGGGACAGCGGGGAGTCGCCCCTGTCCTCCTCCGCCACCCTCAACATCCTGCTCGTGGACGGCTTTTCCGACGCCTACCTGCAGTCCGCTGATGCCGCCGCCGCCGCCGCCGCCGAAGGGGCCGACACAGGCGCTTTAACCATGTACCTAACCGTCTCCCTGTGCCTCGTGTCCTTCCTCTTCCTGCTGTCCGTCGTGACATTTGTCCTGCTCAAGGTGTGCCGGAGGAGAGGGGGCGGGGAGCAGTACACCAGTGCTCCCGGCACGTTGTATGGCGACGGCAACTTGCCGAGAGACTGGGTGGATGTGTCGGGGACCGGCACCCTGTCCAGGAGTTACCGATACGAAGTGTGCTTGAGCACGGGGTCGGGGAGCAGCGAATTCCGGTTCCTGAGGCCCCTCGTGCCCGCCCCGCCGCAGCAGGGGGGCTGCGTCGTGACGGGCTCCGGGAAGGAACGGGATCTTCTCACCGACTCTCATGCGCCCACCGACTTGGAAGGCGCCGATCAGGTAAGCGTTGAGTGGGCTCTTCCGCCCTTCATTCTCTATGAATAGGTCCTCATCTTTTTGGACTGGCGAATGTTGTTCATGTGTTATTCGTTTTCAAAATCTAGTTTCCTTTGTAGGGAACCTAAAACTGATTTGTACACAAGGGACTGTTTCGATTACACTGAACATCTGCAATCGACAGATGTAATATTTACCTAATGGCATTGATTTCTCATTTAAGCAGGGTTATTTTTTAGCGTACCGGTGTATCTGAGGGGAATTATTGGCCTGCTTTGCTAGTAATTATTGGGAACCTTCTAATAGGGTCTGTTTCTTATAGACGACGGGAAAAGTCAGGTTTCCCCATTTTATTTCCGGCGTGATTACAACCCTGAAAGCCTGGAAAGACAACTACTTTGGTTCTCTATATTACTGGTAGTTATCACTAACCAGTTTATGCAGTTCCAGTCGCAGCGATTTATTAAAGGGAAGCGAAATCCCATCAGGATATTAGTGTCAGAATTAAGGTCTGGAGTTTTCAGCATCCTCCTTGAAAGATTATTTCTATGCTCTCACTTACACGTTGAATACTTGGATTGCATAATTGATCGATTCGGAATACAAAATGCTCTTTACCTACAAAACAGTTTCCCCTGTAGCGCAGGCACGTACTGAATGCACTGCAGAGGGAAGAGAACTATAAGTTCTATAAAACCGGGTTGTTGTTTCTGTTGCTCATAAGATGATGATGATGATTTTTTACATCCAAATAACATTGATCTATGGGTAGAATCGTACACTAACATAATTAAAGATGGTGAGCTGCAAGGTGCAATTTTACTGCAAGAAAAGGGTGAATTGAATTAGAGAGTCAAGTTTAACATTGAACAGGAGACAAGAGTGGGGTTGAGGTTGTTGATTTTCACCTATAACATTTTGCAGACACTGTAGAGCCTCTGTCTAAAACCAAAGCCTGTCAAACACGCATTTCACTCGTAGGTGTGCTTTTGAAGGAAAGGGGAATCTGTAGGAAGAGATGATGAGCCCTGTTTTTCAGAACGTTTTAGACCCGCGGCTTTTTGGCAGAGGAAAGTATTCCCGGTGCCAGGCCTCCAAGATGGAGGCATAATCCTGGTGGCGAGAAGAACAACCTCACCTGCAGGGAGATTCTTGCATCTGTGTTAGAAGACCGGGGCGGCAGAGGAGAGAATGGTGCGGCACAGGCAAGCTCCGCGCCTGGGGCTTCCCGTTGGGGTGCGGGGAGGAGAATCGGAAGTGGTGCAGCTTTAAGGTCCATAGCCATGTCTGTGGGGTGATAGCTCAAGGCCATATTCTTCTGAAAGGAAGTTTTCCTTAGTGTTAAGTGTTTAATGACTGCGGTCACTCTATGGGTGTATCCCATACTATTCCTTGTTTAAAAGAAGTTTTAAAAGGGAAAAGAGGAGCGGAATGCCTTGAATACCTATTTAAAAAAAAAAACTAAAGTAAAAATGATATTGGGGATTTCAATGGACCAAAGAATGCTTCTAGAAAAGTGAAACAAATGTTCTCTTACCAATAATTTCAAGATGTCGATGCTGTGGTAGGTTTAGTTAGCATAATAACTTTGTCCGGATTGTTAATACTAGTGCGGAAAATCTAACGGTTCCAGTGGCGTCTGCAACCACCAAGCTCTAGTGTAACATAAGCAACCAATTGGAAGTCGTTTCATACTGTTCCCCAAGTCACTAATCACAGTAGTATCTACGCTCGCCCCCATGCCGGCAGCAGCGCCTATGCATGAACTGTGACCAGCAAGGTTTACCGTGGCTTCCGCTGCCTGGAGCTGTAACAGCTTGTTCGCAGTTTAATAGTTGTTATGGGCTGGAAGGGACCTTACAGATCTTGTGTCCAGCCCCCTTGCACTTGGACTCGGAAATGCTTTCGCTTTCTCGCTCTGTGCATCGCAGTTAATTTTCGTCTTAGATTCACACCTTATTGGTAGCTTGGTCTCTGGTCATTACCCTGGTCTAAATATCCACTACGCAAAACGCTGAGTATTAACATAAAGCAATTCCAGCATTTAGGCTATAGCGCTGCTTCCTGCCCGCTAGGGAACATCGCTTCTAGGGACATCTCTGCGTGGATTTACTGTTCTGAGTCCTTCCATGAGCCGATAGGAAATGGCATCTCTTTCAGCGATGGCTTCCCATTCTGTGCTATCCATATTCCCGCCGCCGATACTGACAGCTAGCTCCGAATTGGCAATAGCTATGGGCAATAGCTTTACCCGAGAGGCCAAAAAGGTGCCTTCCAAGATTTGAAAGCATTAACTTCTTCTAAATGTATGGAGCTGAACCAGAAAGACATGGGAACTCTCCAGTTTTTCTCAAGGGAATGCTCTATCAGCCCGAGGACTTTTACCCTCGGGGGTAAAAAGCAGAACCCTGTTGTGATCATAGAGCAGGGTGATTTCAATAGACACCAAGAGAGGAAATCAAGAGAGGAAATTCCAAACGTGTATTCAGTTTGATACCTCTGTTTATGGTTTGTTTGCTTCTAAATTAAGTACTGTCTTTTGGAAAGAAACATCCGCTCTTGTTCTCTGTACTTCTGGTAGCTGTGGCTATTGAGTTTATGCCATACCACTCGAAATGATTTATAACATGAAGGCGGAGAGGACAGCGGTACAACAAAGGGAAGATTCCGTCACAGGATAGCTCTCAGAACTTCGTCCAGAATTTGCAATATACTCTTTGTAATTTCGTTTCTACATGTTGGAGACTTGTATTGCACTGTTGATCAGCTCTGTATACAACTGTCTCTTTAGCTACAAAAGCCTCTGACATAGTGCAGTGAATGTGTTAGATTTATCGTTTACTGTAGAGGGAAGGGAACTTGAACTTATATGAAATAGGAGAGTTCTTATTGTTGCTTTTTCTACAACATTCAAATAATACGGAAGTAGTGGATGTGGACCACCAGATCCCTGAAGTCAGAGTACATATTCCTCACCAGTCCATCAGGCTTCCTCAGAGAACTCGGTGATGATCATATTCGTTCTCAGAGGCCATGATTCCGGAGGCATTGGGAGAAAGGGTTTCTACCTTCACATACACCTTTTATCCTAAAACCAAAATTTGAAATTAGCACACTTTCGTGATCTCGTGTCAATTGCACAGACAGAAAACTTCATCCCATAATTTATCACCTGATGCCGTAGATTTGGTTTCCCACCGCTAAACAGGAGACAATAACCTTGGAAGGGCCCGAGATTAATGATCCCTTTCCAGCTCCTGCAATTTACTTAAAATATCCTACATGTATTCATCTGCAGGAAAATTGTAACCATGATGTAATGAAACCCAAACTACTGGTTTAGCGTGAGGTTTGACATAGTGTAAATGTTACTCTTCTGTCAAGCCCTGCTCTCCTGCTAGGACTCAGGTAGAAGACCTGCATTCAGATTCAGGGATTAAATATCAACCATAGTAAGAAAAGTTAAAAAAAATAAAAATAATTTTAAAAAAAAAAGTTGCTTTTCAGCAATAAGTTGGCAGTGAGAAGTAATTATGGGTTGGTAACCCAGCTCGACTGCAGTGATGGTTTTACACTGTGCTGCCCCCTGCACATCCCATACCTTGATGCTCCCACGTGTACCCAGTGCCATGCTGCTCCCCCCGCCCTCCCACATTCTTATCCCTACCAGACTTGCTCCCCTCTATCACAACACCCACCCCAAAGAAGCCTACCCTGAGACCCAGTACTATAACAGGCAGTCTGGGATGCAAAAGCAAACGCTCATGGCTGAGAACACTTCCTGCTGCACCCCCACTGGTACACGAGGACACCCTGCTTTTCTCTCTCTGTCCCAGCTGCAGCTGCTTAGCTGTTTACCGATAGCCATTTTTAGCCTAATATATTTACTGGAAGTTAGTAAATTTACTGACAGTTGGTAATCTTGAAGAGGGTGTTCCAGGTCTTCCTAGAGCAGCAGGGCATGGGTCCCCACACTCTGCTTCCCAGCAGCCATGCCAATTAGGGTAATACCCAAAACTGATAATATACCATTTGCATTACACCTCTGCAGAACAGCATATCAGCCTTCAGCCACCCAATGCCCTGCTTGGCCCAACCAAGCTACTGGGTGTCCAAGGTCGTAGTGGTGGATCGGGACATGGGGCAGAATGCTTGGCTGTCCTACCAGCTGCTCAAGGCCACAGACCCAGGTCTCTTCACCATGAGACTCGAGATAAACGAGGTCAGGATCACAAGGCCAATAATAAATCAGGCACGATAAAGCAAAGCCGTTTTGTGCTTCTTAGAAACATCAGAGACTAAACATATTCTTCCTCAACTTTTCGATATACTTCCAGTGCACCGGGTGTTGGTTTGTTAATGTTCGGTTTCTTTATTTCAGGAAGCAAAGGAAGAATAGGATAGTACATGAACTGTGTCAGTAGATGTATTTGTATCTCTAACAATTGTTTTTATTAACTGATTTCAATCACTGGTTGTAAGGACTGAAGGGAATTGAACTTCCTAGTTAGTAACAGAAGGATCACAACAGACTGGAAAGCTGAGCAGAATCCAACGGCATGAAGTTGAATGCTGAGAAACTCAAGGTGCTGCACTTCGAGAAGTATAATAAAAAACACAAATGAAAAATAGGTGAGACTTGGCTGGATGGCAGCACAATAGAAACGGACCTGGGAATGCTGGTAGGTCACATTCTCAATGTGGATCTTCAGTGTGCTGCAACTGCACAAAACACAAATATAATTTTGGGATGCATCAATAGAAGGATTAGGTGCAACACACGGCAAAAGTTAGTGCCTCTGTACTCAGCCCAGGTGAGATGTCATCTGAAGTATTGTGTGTAGTTTTGGGCTGCATGTTTCAAAAAGAATGTGGAGAAGCTAGAGAGGGTCCAGAAGCAGGCAACAAAGATGACAAAGGACTTTGAAAACAAGTCATACGAGGAGAGGCTTAAGGACCTAGGCATGTTCAGTTTGTGGAAAGGGCATTTTAGAAGGGACATGACAGCTGTCTTCAAGTACTTGAAAGGTGGCATGTAAAGGAGCTGG